TAGGTGGGAGAAGGAGGCTAGGGATGTCCAAGGGGCGGACGACCAAGCCCTGATCGCCATGCTCCAAGCTGCACTCCCCCAAGGGGATGTGCGTAAGGAGCTGCGACGGAATCCTCTCTCGACCTATCAAGAGATGTTGGCCAGGGCGAAGTACCTGGCGCTGGAAGAGGAAGATGATGAGCCACCAGTCCGGAAGGAGTAGAAAAGCGGGCCACCGGTGGCAGAAGGAAGGAAAAGGAAGGATTATGGTAAGGGGCCGAACCCCACCGGGTATCATGCGAACAGGCATCCTGTTCACGCGGTACAGTCGTTGCCGGCCCCTCCTCATGGTCGGGAAAGCTATGGTGTGCAAGATGCACCCAAATACTGCGAGTACCACCGTAACAGCACCCATAACACGTCGGAGTGCGTTACGCTGAAGAAGGAGATGGATCAGCTGATCGCTAGAGGGCCACCTCCTCGGTCAGAGCGACCGTCCTCAAGTAACCGGACCTGGAGGAGGCCGCCAGCCCCCACGGCAGCGATCACAGCAGGAGAGGGGCAAGAAGATGGACGGTGGCACCTAGGGCGAGATTGTGGCGACATAGATGAGGAGGAGAGGCAAGGTCGCCGACACCTGGGGTGTCGGTTCATCATGGGAGGAAACACTGGAGGAGATTCGGTATCCTCCCGGAAGAAGTGGAAGAACATGGTGTACCTGGCCGAGGTACAAAGGCCACCGCTGCCTAAGCGAAAGAAGAAGGAACCTCTGATCTTTACAGACGAGGATTATCCCCCAGTCCTCAGCCCTCACAAGGACGCTCTGGTGAATAGAGTGGAGATCAATAATGTGGTTGTTCACCGAACCTTGATCGATACGGGCAGCTCGGTCAACGTAATGTACAACAACACCTTTAAGGAGTTGAGATTGTCCCGAAGCGACCTGAAACCAATCCATACGCCGCTGTCAGGATTTACAGGGGATACTATTGAAGCGGAAGGAACTATCATGGTAAAGGCCGGGGTAGGAGATGGCACCCACCGACTCTGGGTCGACATGGAATTTATGGTAGTACAGCTCGACTGTGCACACCATCTGATTCTGGGACGACCAGGGTTGGAGGACCTGGAGTGCGTAATCTCCCCCGTCCACTTATGCCTAAAGTTCAACACTCCCACAGGGGTGGGAGTAGCAAAGGGGAACCAGAGC